TCCCGGAGCGATTCTGCTCGTTCGGCGATCGGTCACCGATCCGCTATAGTTATCGAACCCTGAAAAAAAAAAACTCCGACGCACTCTGTTGCATCAGGCTCTCGCCTTGCTAAAAATCGCAAGTTATCGAAAACGTTCTCGGTGAGGAAATTTCGAATTTCCTCCTCTCGCGATCCCCACCCTTCGGTGACGTTCTCGACGCGGTTACCCCTAGGTGACAGCAAGGTTACCGCTTTATTGTGAAGCTTAGGCTAACACAGTAAACGGTCGCGAAGATTCCCCTCCGGGAATCCTCGACTTTGAAAAGTCGCGTTCTCGTTCCCCGCTTGTGACGCTCCTCGAGTTGTCATACCCGGGTGACCCTACCGGTCATCAAGGTATTGTTGCCACGAAGACGGTTATCGAAACGGTTCCCGAATTCTGACAAACAAGTTTTTCAGAAGATTTCGAAGGACCCCCTACCCTAGAGTCCTGGTTCGCGACAGCCGAAATTGGCAAGCTCTCGGTCACTTCGTTTCGAACTATCACTGAGGACAGTCGAACCGATAACGAACTCTCGCGCAGCAATGGACGCAACGAACATCCCCATCACCGAGGACGAGATGGACGTGGTCGACCAGGAGGACACCAGCGACTCCTGGTTCGACGAGATGTTGAGGGTGACGACGACCATCAAGGAGAGGCCGGCGGACACCCTGTCGACGAGGGGAGCACTAGCTCACGCGTGTGCCGCAGCCCTCACCCTCGCAGGCCCGAAGGATGCCGCTTCGGAGCAAGCGATCGTGGGCGCTCTCTCAGACTTGGCTCAGGGGGCCATGGAGCCCGAGGCAGGAACGCCCCAAGCGAAGGAGCCCATCGCCGCCGCTCCCGCACCACCAGCTCCCGCAACACCGGTGACGCCAGCCGTCCCAGGACAACGGACCGCTCCGGATGCAATAATGGCACCCGCGGTGCCCACCGCTCGTGCGGGGCCCGCGAAGCCAATCTCCGCTGCGGCTCAGGGGAATCCCAGGACCAGCGGCGCTCGGCCTGCAGGGGCTACACCGCAACCTCGGCGGCCAACTCTAGAGCGGGCGTGTTACAGCTGCGGGGAGACCGGTCACCGCTACTCCGATTGCCCGCACGGCCCACCAACATCCACCTTTTGCCGCCGCTGCGGACGCAAGGGGAAGACGTTGGCTACCTGCCCGTCCTGCAGCCAGGGCTGGCGACAGCGCGGGCCATACGTTCCGCGGGCCGGCCGAAACGTGCCCCGAGAGGAGCTGAAGGCTCTGCGGTCGGAGAGACCTCGGTCTCGAAGACCAAGGGGACCTAAGGCGTCCCTCGGTGGTCCGCCGAAACCACCGGCTATCGGTTCCGTCAGGGGAACCAACGGGGATAGGGCTTGCCCGAAACCCTGAGGACACCCTGACGTAGCTCTCGGAGTGGACTCTCTAGTCCAGATCTCGTACTTGGCCTTCGGGCCAATTGCTCTTGTTACCGGCTCTCGGGCCTAGCTCTCGTTACGTGGGTCGCAAGACCCCACTGCTCTCGTTCAAGGAAGGGACCC